TTTAAAAGGTTTATGGCCTGGGGGGGGGGGGAGCGGTTGGATTCAAAAATGGAAAACCGGCAAAAGTAAACAAAAATAAAGGGGAAAGGCCCACAATAACATAGCTCGTGGATTTTGAAAAAAAATTAATACAGTAGATCTCGCTGAGCTGAGTACATGTTATCTAGGCTCTAACAGGTTTCTCAGAGCATGTGCAGAGTTCCTCCCACAAGGTGCTGGAGGAGTCTTTAACCCTATCCAGTCTCTTGAGTAGGGCCCCAGTTTCTGCCGAAGACCTGGGAAAATCTCAAATATTTATGGTCAATGGAATGGGGACTAAGGCGGCCTCCTCTCTAAGAGCGACAAGCTGATTTAGCCAATCCTATGCAAAATACCAACTCTGATGGGCTAATGTTTCCTTATGAGGAGTTGTACCGTGTCAGAAGAAGTCGATTGAAGAGCTGAATAAACTTGAGTTTTGCTGAATCACTCTCTGACTATTATTGTTAAGCACGGACTTAACAGTTTCACAGGATGGCCCAATGTGGAATGGAAATGAATGGGTTATTCTGATGTAAACCCCAGGGCTCCAAGATTCGTTCTCAGTGGCACTCTTGAACCCTTAAATGGTTTTAGGGTTTCACTCCACCAAACTAAGAGAATACCTTTCGTTAGGACCAAGGAGATGACCTGTCCACCATTATCCACCTTGGCTTGTTTATCAGTTTGGTGTAGTGGTTAGGAGTGTGGACTCTAATCTGGGAGAACCGGGTTTGATTCCCCACTCCTCCACATGCAGCTGCTGGTGTGACCTTGGGTCAGTCATTAAGTTGGTGTAGTGGTTAAGTGTGCGGACTCTAATCTGGGAGAACCAGGTTTGATTCCCCACTCCTCCACATGCAGCTGCCGGTGTGACCTTGGGTCGGTGATAAGTTCTCTCAGAGCTGTTCACTCAGGGGCAGTTCTCGAGAGAGCTCTCAGCCCCACCTTAGGGTTTTGGGTTTTTTTGAGCCCCCGGAGGGGATTTGTTATTATTTTTTATATCACTACAAAAACTATAACAGAAGAAAAAGGAAGGGAAACTACATTTACGGGATAAAGTAAAGAACCCACTACTAACTAAAAACCCAAGAGAGGAGATCCTCCTACTAGCTTAGTTACATCAAGTCTTCCCATCATTAATCCCATTACAAACTGAGTCAAACATTTAAAATACTTTTCCTTTAAAGCTTAAAATTTAACTGTCTAAACACAGTACCCCAGATCGTCCCATTTCAAAGTTCTCAAAGACACAATTCAGAGTCCTTCAGCCTTTACTTCTCCTTTCCCCGTCTCTTCCGTAACTTATAAGGACTTTTTGGGGCTCTGACAGAGAGTCCTCTCCGGAAGAACCCAAGTCTAGCTCACCACTGGACTTGCTGTCCTCTTCTTTTTTGCCGTCCTCTGACTTTCCCAACTGGACCCTTAGAAATTCTTGAGCTTTCATAACAGA